GGAGGGAGGGAGGGAGGGGGCGGGTAATGAGGAACGGTGTGGTACAGTCTCCTGGCTAGCATTTGAGAAAAGAGTGAGGAGGAGTAAAGAGGAGGAAGGTTGAAGTATGGCGGTCGGTCAGTCGGTTGGTCAGTGGGGCGGGTCAGTGGTCTTACTCGATGACCATGCAGTGGGGCAGGTGCTGGGAGTAGTACTTGAAGAGCTCAGCTGTGGCTCCCGGGCAGTTGGTCAGCTCCAGCTCCTCTAGCTCCTGCAGCTGGATGAGGCCTGACAGACCAGTGGTGGTCAGCAGGGGGCAGCCTGGAGGGGGACAGATAAGAGGGGGGGGGGGCGTTGTGTGTGGGAACCTGGAAACCTGTGGCATCTCTTCCAAATAAGCTGTTGGTTTGTTTACAACCTAATAACTTAGTGGTTACTAACAAGAAGACCCAGGTAGAAATAAACACACCTGGTAACTTCCTCTCACAACAGGCTCCATCTATTGAAACGCTCATTTAGATTTAGAGATGGTATATGGTATGTGTGTATGTATATGCTCCTATTAGTGCACTAGGTTTAACATACACTGGGCTGGGTATCGTTCAATATTTCCGGTATCAGTACTGATGCTGAGACCTTGACTTCAATTTTTTAATAAATACTTCTTTCAATACGAATTTGATCAAATAATATGACATCACACATCACAGTACAAAGTTTAGCTTTACTTTAGTTTTATTTGAAGCTCAGTCTCTTTACTCACTCAGACTGTTCAGTAAATAAACAGCGCAAATCACCAGCATTATTAGATCCTGGCCAAGCATGCTGCATGCTGATTGGCTCACTGAGGCTGATGAGATTTACTCATTTACTCCTGAGTTATCGCATGACATGACATTTTTTCAGTCCTCGATTACTCAGCTCTACAAACACGACCTCTTAATATTTCAAACTGCTGTTCATCAGTACTTTAGAGCTTATTTTGGATGTTTTGCGAAAAACATAATTGCAAAATGGTTTTCATTGAGTGATGTTATATGAATAAAGCTGGCTTTGCTCCTCTCGTGATATCAGTCCAATTAAACATTGACGACAGATTTCCAGCAGTCTGCCTCTCAGTCGGGACTGGCTTCATGAATGGGAAAAAAATTGTTCCATTTCAATATTTCTTTGTCTAATAGTCTGAAAAACCACCTCATGTGAGTGTATACATTGTTTGGAGTCACGTGTTTCCATTACTCCTTTTTAAGTTCACACTTTCAAAATTGTACATTACTAAACCAATAAAACCAACCATCAACAAAGGAAATGTTACCAGGTTGAAAAAGCAGCTTCTTTAGTTTGATATAAACTCTGTGATGTTATGATGCTGTTGGGCTCAGTCAGGACTGTAAGGAGTCATGTGATCCCACTGTTATCATTTCACTGAGGTAAACTAGGCTCATCCTTCAACATGATTTTAAAAGTTTCTCTGACTCTGTGTTTGTAGGAAAAACTCCCATAATCCTTAGCTCCTGTTCCTCTCTAACCCTGGCCTGTAGTGGACACTGTGAGAACTGCTCTAATATTAAATACTGAAATCCTCTGGCATCCTCTGTTTACCTTTCAGGTAAACTGGGACTTTGGCCTAAGAGAAGGG